GTGGGCAAAATAGCAAAACATCTAATCACAAAACAAACGAATCAAATTTCATCGGTAATTAAATATTAAATATGTAATTTTGCAATTTAGGTCCATTATAGCAAAGCTCAAGTTAAACTGGGCGATTTGAAGTGAAACAATTGACGACACCCGTCAATTGTTTCGAATTCGGGCTGGTCAATCGGAGCGCAGTTGTCACAATAATGATTTGGCAGAATAGTTTACAAACAAATTAAATGACATTTCGTCTCTATTTCTGGTTATATACTCGATGACCACGTATTACTTAACTCGTGTAAACCAGTATTTAAACCGCCAGTTTCTGTACATCTTTAAAGAATTCCTTGAATGAACAAACTTGCTATACAGTTCGTGTTCCATCCATGCTACCTTCAGATATTATAAGTTCTATTTGTTAGCCAATTCGCAGTCTCAATGGTATGTTTATATGTATATATTATATATGTAACTGTAATTGACTTCATCTTTAAGAAGTTCCGGACACTGGGTGTAACTAACGGTTGAATACGTATTAGGCGACACTATTGTCTGTTAGAATAACAAAAGCATATATTATTTGGTTAAACGTTAAAACAGGTTTAGCTCACTAATGGATTTAATGTAAAATACATTAGGTTTAGTAACAAGTTTTTTTTTATTTACGAGCTTGTTGCTAGTACAGAGAAATAGCCAACGACTGTATTCAACGCCTGGGCTTTAGAGTTCCTGATACGGTACAACATTACCTTTGTCCCTATTGTGTCTAGACATGATATTCAATTATTTTTTGTGAAATTACTCCACTAGTTTGTTGTAATTATTAAACAATGAACGAACACTTAGAAAAAAGCCACTGTGATCCGGCCGGATTCGAACCAACGTCTCCTAACAAATCGTGCTAGATGCTATGCCAACAAAGCCACGGAACGAACCAACGAACCTCACGAATTTTTCTACGTGTTTGTTGCAGATCTTTATTCTGGCCTGTAATGACTTTTTTGCCGTAGCGCCATCTACGAGAACTCATTGAAAGTTTTTCTTTACTCACCGAGGTACCTTTACAGCTATCAGCCGCTGACTAGAAATGTCACTTTAATAATTGTAATAAAGTTTAATCGAAATCGTCACTCTATTACTCATTCGTAAGCCGTGGTAGCCTAATGGTTTGACCTCTCAAACAGAGACCGTGGGTTCAAATTTGGGTACGCACCTGAGTTTCGGAATTTACCATGAGCTTTTTCGGTGAAAGAAAACTTCGTGATGAAACCTGCACGTCGAAGAAGTTTCACGACACAGCTCTCGGAAAAAAGTGTGAAGTCCCCGACCCTTTAGGCCAGGGTGGTGGACTACGGCCTTAAAGCCTCGCCTCCTAGAAGTTCCATTAACGTAAAGTTTAATAACTTCATCTAGGTCTTCCTCTCTTTCCTTCTTAATTTCTTAGAAGCAGAAACTGCCGTGATGTAATAGATGCCCAAATATTTTTCTTCGTTGATGCTCTATAAATTGTTACTTATGTTATACTTACCTATTAGAGATATACTTTTTCTAATATTTATATTTCTTTTTTTTTTTGGTGGAATGAAGTAGTAGAAGAATAAAGAAGATTTATATTCTAGAGAATGTGACACATTATGTACGTCGCTGCTAAGCACAGGTCTTTTCTAAAGAGGTATGGATCTCTCACACAAATAATAGGATAAATATGTATTATATGTTATAACAAGTACCTTTCTTTTGAGATCAAAAGAAAGGTAAAGTACTACAAAAACCTGGAATTCCCTGTACTATGAGCACCAGAGCAACGAAATTCTGGGGCACTTCTCAGAATACTCAGACCAGAACCAATTGAAAAAAGTTCATTTTCCCAAATGGAATGGAATCGAACGGGAATCGAAACCAGGACCTCCGCATCCAGCGCCTACAACGTAAATTGTTAGGTCACTGAGGGCGTTAAGTAGCCCAAGATCGAAGAGAATGTCGTGTAAATAAAGGTCTACACTCAGCAGTGAGTGACTAAAGGCCCAAGAAGAATATATAACTATTTTAGGTTTTAAAAAATAAAGCATATTTATGCATCCGATAGTAAAATATCTTGAAATCGTAAACTTGAAAGGAATACTTATCGTAAAAATTATTTAACAAGTCAGTAATTCGCGTGAAGATGTGTATCCGAGGTTATTTAACATTTTTACTGCGCAACACCGCGGAAGCGCGGTGATTACACGTTTTATCGCGCGACTATTATAAAGAATTCAAATTATTGCTTTTACGATCATCGGTTTTTTTATGGGTTTTTAAAGACTGAGGTCTGGGTTAGGCTTCACAAGTTCAATTGTTACATTGTTTGCGATTGCATATCATTCAATGGTAATTTCCCTTTTGCGTTATACTGTGCAAATTAATGTTGTAAAATGTGATAAATGGTTTGTACTTGGTGGTTTTAAATGTTTAAGGCGACGTATTTCAACGCGAGTTAAGATTTTAGGAGGTGAGGTGTGGGGATATCCATGGAATCAGCGAAACGAGTTCAAATATTTCTTTTGATAAATATTAGGTGGTACTTGCATTGTCCCTATCTACCGACCCGAGAGATAGGGTATTCCGGAGATTACGGGCTCGACGGCAAGACTAGGATCGGGCGTCAACGTCTTCACGGACGTCTTTAGTGGACCCGGACTTGGGTATGGACTCGGTATGCCCCGGTAGCATGTGGCCGGGGCGTCTGTCTTGTGCGCAGCTAGCGCGTCTCAGTAGCAGTCTAGTTGAGGACCTGAAGCGAGAAGACGCGCGGGGCATGTGAGTTGCCCTTTAAGTTGGAAGCTATGTCCGGACATTGTCGCAGGACACTGGCATTTCCGGCACTAGTCCGGAGAACTAGTAGAGGATAAGCTAGATATACTCAGGTCTCTCCAACCGTTTAGGTATTGGGAACTGGAGAGACGTCGTTTTTCGGCGTCGGGAAGTGAGCGTGTTTTACAGCTCCGCCACCAATGATGAGATTTGGTAGTGGACTTAGAGTCGACGGCTTAGTGGTGGCAACCGCTAGCTGTGCAATGCGCAAAGGGAAGTGAACGTGCCTACAGCCTACGGTACCTATCTGGAAAATAGGGAGGGTACTGTACGTGCGCCCGGGGCGACTCACCCGGGGTTGGCACTTGCATTGTTGACTAGCGTAACAAACGGTAGATATCGGTTTGTATATATTATTTCTCGAGGTAATAGAAATACACCACGGAGCAGTGCACGATGTGTGAATAATAATACGTTACTTAATGGACTTAAATGTCTTCAAATCAAACAATATAGATTTTACATTTAGCACATTTACTCAGACCGTGTACCAACCACCATTTTCTTTTAAACAAAATTTTCATTTTCTTTTAAACAAAATTTTCATTTTCTTTTAAACAAAATTTTAATTTTTTTTAAAACAAAATTTTATCAAGAATTATCAATTCTATTTACGTTCTTGATACTCGTCGCCATTGTGAATCGCCAGCGTTTGATTATTTGATGTGCGCGTGTCACACGTCCGTTCATCCCAATATCTAGCGTTGTAGTGGGAGAGCGGGCAAGCCACAGCGACCGTTATTACCTTGTCCACTACCTGCTATTTTCATGTATAAAAAAATATAATTAAAATATTATAATTTTAATTATTAATTTTTTTTATACATGAAAATAGAGTTAAGAAATAATGTGGGTTACATCACTTTTCCACTCATAGCCTCATTCCATCTAGCGTCTATAGTGCTAACCGCTCGACCACTGTTGTCGTCGAATTAACATCAAAGTATAAAAATTCAAACGCGGCTATCCTCTCCCTTTACGTCGTTGAACATTCTATGCCATTATAAACTTTAATTTAATACAGAAATATTATGTACTCTCATGTACGAAAAGCGTAAAAGTAAATTGATCATGAAATTGGGGCCACACAAAGCATGTACGCATCAATGGTTACACAGGCACAATAACTCTTTGGCCATGCGCAACAGGAGGTATATACAAAGGGTTACAGACTAATTAGGTACATATATAAATATATATTTGTTACATATATATTAATACAACACGAAAGTTTAAAAATGTACATTGTATACAGATGATAATGTGCGTATGCTTGCGAAGGTGCTTTTATTTGATAAATTAGTTCAAAAGCAACGAGTCTCATTATTCATATTGTTGCCTGAAATAGAAATTGTGACTTCGTACGTAATACAAAAACATTTTGGAAAAATAACTCAACTTTACGTTTTATTTCTTTTTTTTTCGGAATCTATTTTTAAAAACAATCTTCGCACATTTTAAGTAAATAATGTATTTAATGTGACCTCGGTGGCTCAACGATTTGTGCTGAGAGTGCGAGAAGAGTTAGTTTATGATTCGATTCCCTATAAGACGAATCCAGGAAAAGAACTCTTCTGGTCGTTTTACTGGTCTGGACGTTGAATTCGTCGAGTTAGCGTTGCCGTTTTGGTCCATTATTATCATCACTTAGCGAGTTTTTACTTAGTGTAGGTATTCAATTTAAAGGATGAATGCTTTGATTAATAAAATAGTTATTTTGAAAATTGGTAACCAGCCGCAAAAGATCGGAACAGCCGTGGAACGACGTGAAGCTGCTGAACGAGTCTATAAGAAATTAACTCCAAAGACGTGTTATATGATGGTCTATGACAAAGTGCCTTTTAAAATCGATTTTGTATGACAAACATACAACGCATCTACATCCGCAATACGGTGTAACATTGTAACACGCGTAACTGGGATCAGCTCTAACAGTATCCTGAAAATATTAAGTGAAAATTGGTACGCCATTTAGCCATTTTATTGGTGTGACACGCCAATAAAATATTTATGTGTTTTTCTTTAGCTCAACATTATTTATTAATTAATGTAATTAGCAAGTTTTTGATGTACTACTAACAAGTGCACATATAATATCTAAATAAAAATATTATAATTACATGCGTAAAAAATATAGATAATGTACTTACAAATTGTAGTTGCAAGCCGCGTGGCGACGCCGGGGGAACTAACGTCTCATCTATGTACACTTTGCACTCAAACGCACTAATCTGGGAACAAACAAATTTATTGGTATTAAAATTAAACGATTGTTTATATTATATTAAGTTACATCATCTTGTATTTTATATATACACCAATTGCCCAGCTTTTGTACGAAGGTTTAGAGAAATATATTTTACGGAATTCGAACATCGTGCCGCCATTCACAAAGCGTTGAAGGCTCATTTTTGATGACAGATCCCATTAGAGCTGAGATTAATGGATTCTTAATTACTTATATAAAGATAAATAAGCAATACGATACTTAAATCTGTGTAGTTCAGTGAATGTTCAACGGTGAATGGGAACAACCTTTCTACAAGTTGGAATTTGTCCAAAACATTTAGCAGCGGTAGAGCTCCTTGTGAAACAGTGCGTCCATTAAAGTACTGCCACCTTACCTATTTCTGCCGCCAAGCAGTAATGTGAGCATTATTGAATTCCAGTTTTGAAGGGTAATGGTGCTGGTGAAATTACAGGCACATGGAACTTTTAGCTTATGTCTCAAGGTGACGAGTGCAGTGGCAGTGCCCCTAAGATCTTTGTGAGTTAAAGCTCCGAGTGACACTGCAACTGTTATGGATAGGCGTGTCGCTTTCCACAAGGCGCAAGACTCTTTCTTCTCATCATAAAAAAAGATTGCCATCATTTTTATAACAACTATGCTTTTTTATATATGTATAATGCGTAGTTTAAGAAGAAAAACTTACTCGCAATAACAAGTTCGCAAGATAAAATACTGGTATCTTTGTTTACGTCCCTTAATTTCAATGACAGTTACATCTGCCCCTCCTGGTTCTCCCCCCGAGACGTTCAAAAGATCAATTCAAAAGATGCAAAATGGATTACACCAATATAAAGATAGATACATGCAAACTCCAGTAGTCCAAGCCGGCTCTGTACAATGAACGTCCTTGGACACCCCTCACAACACTCATTTGTCATACACAATTCTAAAGGAATGGCCCGTAACAAAGTTCAAGTTGTGTTCAAATTTCAACTTTACAGACCTGGAAATTAGATGGAAAAGATGGTGTTTAAAGAAGAGATATAGGATGTAATGAAAGGGAGGAGTATTAATGATTACGAGAAAAAAAGCACGTTTCATTGTGAGAATTCATCCCGAGGCAAATACTGGCGAGTGTTGGGAGATTGTATAGGAGCTGTAGATATTCTTTGGTCTCGCATTGTGTGGTTTTGCGTTCAATACGATAGCAAATAAACGATTATACCTCGTACAGTTGTTAAAAATACTTATTTTCACTAACATAAAGATCATAATACTAAACTTAAGCTTACATTCTTCGGATGAACAGTGGATAAGCAGGTTTAGTAAGTAATTTCTAGATAAATGGCAATTGTATATTCCTTCTCTTCACTGCCTTATCTGACACTTTAGTGGAAGGTAATTCCGATGTGAGATCTTAAGTTTAAGTAAACATTCATATGCCTAACTGTGTTATACTGGTATAATTAAAATATGAATGTGCCAGACAACCACACCAATGACCTGGTATCAAATTAAGGAATTTCATGGTATAATGAGTCCCAGAATAACGGAATTCACTCTGGGGCACTTATCGGAACACCCAGACAAGAAGCAATTTAGAAAAGTTTGTATCCCACATTGGTCCTCCCAGGAATCGAACCCAGAGCCTCCTCATCCAGCGCCCATAGTGCAAATCGTTTTTTTTATGATGTCAAGTGATGTGACGAACAAGTCTACGACTATCCATAACAGTTGCAGTGCACTAAATCGCAAAGATCTGAGGAGCACCGTCACTACGCCAGTCACCCTGAGACATAAGTTGGAAGTCCCATGTGTCTGTAATTTCACCAGCACCCTTACCCTTCAATACCTGAAGGCTGTAATCATCAGATTACTGCTTGATGGAAAATAGTAAAAAAAACAGGTAATAGGTGAGTTAAGTAGAGGAGATTTATAAAACCAATTAGATGTGTATTGTAAAACCGAAAACACATTGTTCTGAAAAATTTAACCAATGATAGCTAGTTACGACATTTGTTGAATGTTGATTCTAACATGAGAATGTTAATTCTAACTAGTCGAGAGACGTCCTAAGTCAAAATAGCGAGTGAAAAGACGTTGATATACAAAATGTTACGTATTTAACTCTCCGTAAAAGTCTGAAGAATAATTAGAGTTAGCTACTAGTTAAATATGAGAACATGTATTTATCTACTCCACGGTCAGCAGGCCCCGACATTCCAAAGATAATCTTTGTCGAGATCGCCCTTACAGCAAGGTCTAGTCTCCCGTTGTGTCTTATCGAATACAAGCAAATACATAAACACTTTGCTACTTTTCTTAATTTGTACAATAATAATAATTTGCCAGAGAAACACGCTAAGTATCTTGTCTCAAACTAGAGAATTAAACTACTACTAGGAGAACCAAAACAGGCCCATATCTCTCTATTTAAATTTTGTTTATAGTGCCCCTTCCTACCAAGGTCCAGGTTATACGGGAAGGGCACTATTACCTGTGCAAGGAAGCTCGCAAAGGGACCTTATTCAATTAGGTCCTGACCCGAGATCAGCCCGTTTCCACAGACTTCATCCGGTGTTCAAAAGGCTAGTGCCTTGGGTGAGCGACACCGGGTGCATGTAAATCATCCCCCCCCCTATTGTCCTGATAGGTATTTGAGCCGTTTGAACAACTAGCAGTTGCCAGCGCTAGCAGGAGAACCGGAACAATCAAATTAACTCCGGGGCTTTAAATGTTAGTTTCTCAAGTTGATCTTACCGGGACTTCTTAATTAAGCGTTCACAGTGTAACTGCCAGGACATCGATTTCCTTCAAAAAATGAGGTCTGCAAGCGTAGATGGGATATCACGCAACATGTCAGCAGGCCAAGGCTTAATTCCATTAATAAAAAATAAATCAAGCTTAATTCATTTGGTGATTGGGTATTCTGTATAGAATTCTCTTGGATTAGTCCCCATCGACGTGCCACACAGCTAATGCGCTTTTTTTAATGATATCAAGTCACGCCACGGACAAGTCGTACGCCTGGTGATGAGTGACACGGATAACAGTTACAGTGCCATTCAAAGCTTTAAATCGCAAAGATCTGAGATGCACTGTCACTGCACCCTGAGATATAAAGTTGACAAGTCCCAAGTGTCTATAGTTTTATCAGCACCCTAAGCGCAGATTCCTATTAGTTTCGAATCCGAGACTATACAAATCTAGAAAACTCGGGCCCACTTCGGATGTCGCTTGTGCACAAACTCCGATCCCTGTGACATTTCGGACCGTCATTTCTAGGACTCGGAACTGGGAGTCTACTCTCGATCTCCGTCCGAAACAATTACTGCCAAATAAGCCATACTTGACCAAATGAAAAGACGCGTGATGCGAATGAAGCTTCATACTGGATACTTGTCTTTTAATATTACTTATTTGACAGTAATGGTTTCGGACGGATGTCGGACGGAGTTCGAGAGTAGCCCCCTTGATACGAATTGGAGGAAGTGCGCAAACGCTCCAACCCTCCAAAACCGGAATGAGAGCAGTGCTTAGCGGCATAACAAGTATGATCGCAATACTTCCCTGGGCGAACTCTTAAACTAGGAGCTCTACTGCTAATCTACTACAGGCATAGAAGATTTAAGATCACAATTACAGGGTTTACTGGGTATATGTGTTTTATAAGTTAGAGAGAGGGTTTATCCATAGTATGCCACGCTTCACAGTAAGCCCCAACAGATAATTCGTGAACTTGAAAATTAATTCTAGAACTCTTATAATAAATTTCTTGACAAGTTAATTGTTTCAGAGAGAAAAAAGTTATATTTCTATGAAGATATAATATATATTTTACGACTTATCTCAAAGTGTAAGAAATGTCTGTAGCTTGGTTACAGTATGGATCCAGTTAAGAATAACTGGTACAGATGCATGCATCTATACAATAAATACAGGTCTCCACGTCGATGATGTACGTATGTGTTATCTCTGTTATGGGATCCTGTACTCTTAGTTAAATTATAATTACAGGACTCTCGACTACACAACCTGTTCTAATGAGTTTCATATTCGATAATACAAAAGCAATGCTCTAGTTAAATTGCATGATACAAATGCCACTTGTACTACGACATTATCCACGTGTTCTCAAGAACGTTGCCTGACCCAGCTCCCTTCACCTTCATACCTTCTACGGCATTTAGTTATGGCAAATATTTTACTTTTATTTTTAGATCTATTAGGTGCTTGTTTGAAGGTGATATTTTTCGCTATAGAGCGATTTAAGCGATTCAAAGGGAAAACTGTGCACGATGCGCAAGGATGTATTAGTTTTAATATTTTTCTATAATCTATTTCTATCAGAAGGGAATTGTTTGCTTTCTATTATACTGTTATATCTATTTGTGCGTTTAGTAGTGTGTGCGTTTATGTGCGTTATATTGTTATATAACGTTGGGGATAGTGCAATTACGCATAACTAACATTTGATTATGAGTTTTTATTTCGTTAATTTAGTGGCCAAATGAAATCCGCGTAAATGTAATGACAACCAAATTAGCGTGATTTACGGGAATCTATTGTTATCAGTCCGTAGACAACATAATATAGTGCTTACTGTGCAAACATGAAAGTCATAGCTATAGAAATAACAAAGTACTAAATTCAAATCCCCCTCCTGTGAAATTTGGTTTAGTGCAGATCATTAGTGAGGTGTGAAAATTGTCCTTTGTAAACCCGGCGCAAAACAAAGAACACTTGCCCTAAGAAACTTATTAGCACACAAGATCTAGTATCTTACACTTAATTTCACTGGTTAATTATTTTACACGCAAAATTAAGCAGAAAATGTAGTAAATTACTTTAAAATATTTATGATATTTGATGATACGTGGAAAATTTTTGGCGAGCCGGTAGGAATCGAGTTATATGGACGCCTCGCCACTAGTGCAGATACGCGCCTTTTACCAATACTAAACACGTGGTTTTGCACTATCCCCGACGATAAGCCATCTG